AGGCCAGGGAAGAAACAGGCGAGGCCGATGCACAGAATGAGATACAACGGGAGCACAGGCATGCTAATATTCCCACAGTGAATGTTTCTGTTTCTGATATATTCACCTGGAAGCCCTTATGTTCTGCCGGTGATCCTGAGGCTGAAAGTCACTCCAGGGGGCCGACGCTGTAGCACAATGGGTTGACACCCTGGCCTGGGGTGCCGGCATCCCATATGGGCGCTGGTTCAAGACCTGGCTGCTCCACTTCCAACCCAGCTCTCTGCTGTGGCCTGGGAAAGCAGTAGAAGATGGCCCAAGTCCTTGGGCCCCTGTACCCACGTGGGAGACTTGGGGGAAGCTCCTGGCTCCTGGCTTCCGTTCAGTGCAGCTCCAGCCATTGTGGCCAATTGAGGAGTGAACCAGCAGATGGAAGATATCTCTCTCTCTCTCTCTCTCTCTCTCTCTCTCTCTGCCTCTCCTCTCACTGTGTAACTGACTTTCAAATAAATAAATAAATCTTAAAAAAATAAAGAAAGTCACTGCATTCTGATGTCTTCACAGTTGGCATCTGGATCAGCAGGACAAAGCGTAGATTGTTTCTATCTTGAGGATGAAGTAGATTTTTAGAAATAGTGACGTGTGTCAGGTGAATAAGCAGGTTGGGCATCCTAGACAGAAATTTTTGAAATAGTCATATTTATACACAACTCTAAATCTGGAGCCAGAGACCTGGGTCCTGATTCTGGCTCTGCCATTTATTTGCTTTGTGATATTAGAAAGTTTATTTAACTGCCTTAAACCTCAGTTTCTTTGCATATGAAATGGGAATAATGCCTGTCTGATTTTCGTGAAGATTTGATGACCAACCAGAGCTTGAATCTTGTCCTGTCACTGCTAAACTTTGATGTCTTTTGGGTATCATTTTGTTTTGAGCGGGATCAGCACAGAATCTTTGGGTCTTGGAACGTTACTGCGAGAAGGAATAATTGAGTCACACAACCCAGTGTTGCAGATGAAGAAACTGGGAACCATAATTATATAGCAGGTGCCTAGAATATCCAGAAGGAAAACTTGTATTTGACATTTACATTTACAGTTTAAAAAAAAAAAACAGAACTTCATTTTACGGAAGTCACAGTGGTACACTTTCAAATTCTATGGAGCTTCTAGTAAATGGGACACAGTTCCTCTTGGGTGTACAGATCAGCTTCACACATTTAATGCTGCTGAACGCAGAAGGGGAGCAGAAATGTCCAAGGTAGCTGGAGCCATGCGACAGAGTTTTCCCCAGAAAGGAAAGCTGTGGGTTGCACTTGGGTGGCCTCTGGGGGTTCTTAGCCAGCAGAGAGTATAGTTGTCCTGTCCCCTGCCTCCGGGCTCACCTTGCTACACAGGCGAGCAAAGAGTGAGGCTGTGCAGGGGGGCAAAGGCATAGGCTGCACTTGAGAACCTGGAGAAGAGGGGACAGGAAATAAGAGTGGGAATGGTTTAAGACCAGGAAAGAGAGAGAAAAGAAAAAAAGGAGAATAAGAGACAAGAAGGAAGTTTCCTTCTTGGAGATAGTGAAGGGTCACCAGGACCTCTTCTCGTGGCATCTTTCTGTCTGCAAACATTATCACACCACCACCAAGAGGAGTGTTTTCTACAAACAGAAAAACCACCAGGGGAAGGCTCTGCTTGTGGCTACTCTTGAAAACTCAATACAGAGGGCCAGCATGTGGCGTAGTGGGAAAGCCACTGCCTGTGACACTGGCATCCCAAATGGGTGCCAGTTGATGTCTCAGCTGCTCCACTTCTGACCCAGCTCCATGCTAATGCCCTGGAAAAACAGCAGGAGGTGGCCCAAGTTCCTTGGGCCCCTACACACATGGGAGACCCAAAAGAAGCTCCTGGCTCCTGGCTTTGGCTTAATCCGGTGCTGGCCATTGGTGTCATTTGGGGAGTGAATGTGCAGATGGAAGATCTGTCTCTGTGTCTCTCCATCTCTCTCTCTCTCTCTGTAACTCTGACTAAATAAATCTTTAAGGAAAAAAGAAAGAAATTCAGTTGTAACTCTGACTAAACAGATCTTTAAAAAAAAGGAAAAAAGAAATTCAGTACAGTATTCAATAAGGTTGTACCCTTAGAAAATCTTAATTATTAAAAATTTTAATTGACAGATTAAAAGTACACATATTTGTTATATACAACAAAATTTTTTGGAATATATATACTAAGTGGAATGACTAAATCTAGCTAATAAACAAATGTGTTGTTTTCAGTTAACATTCTTTGTGGTGAGGACATTTACCTAATCTTTTTGTGTTTTTCCAGAATGTTGTATCTGGGCCAGACATTTAATGTAGCAGTTAAGACATCACTTGGGACAGCAGCATCCCATGTCAGAGTGCCAGGGTTCAAGTCCCATCTTGGCTTCCAACCCAGCTTCCTGCTAATGTGCACCCTGAGGGGCAGCAGGTGCTGACTCAAGTACTCGGATTCCTGCCATCCTTGTAGGAGACCTGGATTGAGGTCATGGCTCCTGCCTTCAACCTGGCCCAACCCTGGCCATTGCAGGCATTTGGGAGGTGAACCAGCAGACAGAAAATTCAGTCTGTCTGTCTGCCTCTCTCTCTCTCTGACTTTCAGATAAATAAAAACAAAAGAGTATAATATCATCATTAATTACAGTCAATTTTTTGTACAATGGATCTAGTGAACTTATTCCTCCTGTCTGATTATAATTGTGTATCTTTTGACCAACATTTCCCCAGCACTCCCTCCCCTTAAACTCTGCAGCCCTGGCATGCACCATTCTACTCTCTAAAGATCAACTTTTTAGAGTCCGCATAGGAGTGAGATCACGCAGTGTTTGTCTCTCTGTGCCTGGCTTATGTCACCCAACATAATGGCTTCCAAGTTCATCCATAGTGTCCAAATATGACCGAATTTCCTTCTTTTTCATGGAGGTGTTGTATTTTATTGTCTACATATACCACATTTTCTTCAGCCATTTATCTGTTGCTAAATACTTAGGTTGGTGATTTCCTATCCTGGCTATTGTAATGGTAGTGAACAAGAGAATGCCTGTATCTTTTTTTCTTTTCCTGAGGAGGATCTATTATGTCGGAGGAACTCTAGTGCTTGTGTATCCCAGCTTCGCGGCGAGTTCTTTAGCCTTGGCCCTTTCCAGCTTGGCAGTGGGAGCCACAGAGCTGGGAGCCAGGACGTTGCTTCCCCAGTGGCAGCGGGTCTCACCCCATCTGTCATTGTTGTTGGTCCTGATGGCCTCCACCAGCTTAGCCCGAGCCCCTTTGTTCTCCGAGTTCACCTGCATGAAGGCAACAAGGGTTCAGGTCTTCCTGTGGACCAGGCACACCAGCCCGGCCTTTCCCTTGATGGTACAGTGAGCGAGGGACCCCCCCCCCCCCATCTTCCGACACAGAGCGGGCGAGAGGGCAACCAACTCAGTGGGATCCGCATCGTGTGCAGTCACCACCAGCTGAGCCTTCTTATTCTCCACCAAGGTAGTGACAGTGCTGACACCCGCCCGGAGGACACGTGGGCTCTGGGTCCACTTTGACAGCAGCTTTCTTCTCAGCATGGGCCAGTGGCCTCTGCTTCCTCTCTCGCTTTGTCCCTGGTCTATACTTGTGGGCCAGCTTCAGCAGCTGGGTAGTCATCTGGCAGTGCATTGCCTGGGTGAACTGATTAATGGCAGGAGGCACCTGCAGGCACTGCAGCCAGATATAAATAGTGGGGCCATTTGACAAAACGGGTGAGGCCCCTCTTGGGCTGGATGTCCGGTCCAGCGGGAAAGTTCTCAGGCCTCTTCTCAAAGAGGATTTATCACCTCATCGGCCTCCTGCTTCTTCGTGACAGCAGGGCCCACGGCTGCCTTCTTTCCCTGGGCCTTCAAGCCTTTCAGTATCTTGGGCGGCTGGAGAAGAGAGAAAGGAAAGGGAATACGGCCGTATCTTTTTTATTTCATTGTGTTTGCGATATACCTAATAGTGAGATTGCTGGATCATATGGTAGTTCTGTTATTAATTTTTCAGAAACCCTTCATATTGCTTTTGCACAGTGGCTGCTGCACTAATTTATATTTCTACCAACAGTCTAGAAGGGTTGCCTCTACTCCACATCTTCACCAACACTTTTTATCTTTTTGGTACTAGAGGTCTTTTTTAAAGAAATAATAAATAAAGTCTTATATATTACCTTTGAAATTACTTGCTTCATTATAATATTTTAAAAAAACAGTATTTCTGCTGGAAAACCAATGCTTTCTACCCTCTTCCCAGTGCTGAATTTTTTAAATAAAAGGCATAAAAATTTCAGGAGGGTAGGCTAATTATTTGTTGATTGAATTATGGGAAGGAAATGTAATTATCCAAAAGAATTAAGAAATGTATATAGCTAATTTTATGCCTGCACATATCTAAGCCATAGTAATTATAATCGCTCTTTGTTTTTTGTTTTTTTTTTCATCCCCTGGGGGAAGTAGGTTAGGTAGGACCTGAATGCATGATTATAAAGTGTGCACATATAAATTAAACTTTGGCAAATGTAGGTCACTTGGGTAAGAAGACTCTTTTGATAAAACCAGGTTGACAATTAGATTCACAGGGCACTTCAATGTTAAATGCTGTTCTTCCCACATTCTGGGTCATAAGGCAGTGTAAACAACACACAAAGTGAAGAAGCAGAAGACTGCATTCACGGTAATAGGGAAGCTTCATGGTGCATGGTTTTACACTTTAATACATTGTGTTCTGTTCTGCCATGTTAATATTTTAAGTAATATAATTTCCTTTTCGTGTAGGTTTAGGTCCGTCCCTCCCTCCCTCCCTCTCTGTCTCTCTCTCTCTCTCTCTCTCCCCTTCTGAATTAATTTTCTGTAATGCTCTACCTTATGCCAGGAGCAATTCCTGAAAAACAGGAAATATCAAGTCAAGTAATTTTTTGCAGCAACAACAACAACAAAAAAACGGATTTAAGGTTCCCCAGCCAAAAATGTTAACTTGTGTGCTTTGCAGACTCAATCTGTGTCCCAGGCTTTGATCCAAGCCTCAACATGATGACTGGAATCACCCCCATCAACCCAATGATACCAGGACTGGGGCTGGTACCACCTCCTCCACCAACAGAGGTGGCTGTTGTCAAAGAAATCATCCATTGCAAGAGTTGTACTCTATTCCCTCAAAATCCAAGTAAGTATAACTCTCCTGAGAAAGGCTGGCTCAGAATTTTAGCTTCTTTTCTTTTTAAAAACAATTTTAAATAGTGTTGCATTCATTTTCAGATGTGGCTCACCCTTAGCTGTACAGAGTGAGGGTCCCTCTCTGTATAGCCCATCTCTGTTCTCTAGCTGAGAACACAGGTATGGGGACCTGTGCATATGTCTCCCTAGGAGCTGAATAATCCACACCAGGAAGCCAGCGCTTGGGATTTGGGGATACACAGCCAACGTTGAGAATATATTTACCAATAATGATGGCCAGCATTTGCTCGAGAATATAGTGTGAAATATATAAGCCATTCCACCCATCTTCACAAATGTAGGACACAAATTCTGAAATGTGTTTTTACTGGATAGAAAATTGAATTAATTTGGCAGTTGGCAATTTGGAGGCTGGGGCAACCTGCATCTCAGAGTTTCTGGACCAAATTGCCTTTGCTTGAAGGACACATATATTTGATGAAGTCCATGGGACAGAACTTTTTTTTTTTAATTTTTAGTCTCAGATAACTCAGTGTATGGGCTTACGTAGCTAGGAGGCTTTTTTTTTTATTGCTATTAATCAAGGGTCGCCTCTTTCAAGTGGACTTTTCAGGAGATTGCTTTAGTAATCTACATATAAACCAGGTGAAATGTTGTGACAATGTACAGTTTTATCTTTTTATGCAGCCACCCCCAAATTTAATAGTGCGTGCATTTAAATGTGAATAACGACAAAGTGTTTTTTCAGGCACAGTGTTTTCCCAGCCAAGTAAGTATTGTGCTTCTTCCCTGGGTTGCGCCTCCGCCTCCTGTGTTCTGCCTTGCAGCTCCTTTATCTGGCACCAAGACAAAGCCAAGAACGAGCTGAGGTTTTTCATCAGGTTGTCATTTCATCACGTTTTGTACTTGGTGGAAGTTTTCTCTCCTCCCCATCCCCCACCATTTCCTGGGCTTCTGTGTTAGGAAAGGGGCAATGAAATTGTGCGCCCATTTGCTCTCGTCTTTGTTCACAGACAAGCATAGGCGTGGAAATGCCCACAACTAGAGGTTGGGAGGAGAGGGAAGTCAAACGGAAAAGCCAGCCAGCCTGGGATATGAGGGAAGTTGGGGCAGCTGCCCCTGCGAGCGCGACTTTCGCCAGGTGAACCAAGGAAGGAGAGGCAACGCATGCCGCACAAAACCATCTGTTCTGTTGTGATTGCCAGATCTGCCCCCTCCGTCCACGAGGGAACGGCCTCCCGGCTGCAAGACGGTGTTTGTGGGAGGATTACCCGAAAACGCGACGGAGGAAATCATCCAGGAAGTCTTCGAGCAGTGCGGTGACATCACAGCGATTCGGAAGAGCAAGAAGAACTTCTGTCACATCCGCTTCGCAGAGGAATTCATGGTGGACAAAGCCATTTACCTCTCTGGTACTTTGCATTTCATCAGGGGTTTCTCTGGCATCTCCTTACTTGTGATGTTACTATGAATATGAGCTCATTCCCTTTTTGCCTTAGGGCACAATAAGGTCCTCCTAGTTTGGGGCTGAAAAGGGAGGGCTTTTGCCTTTTGCCTTGGCTGCCAATTCTGTGAGACTCTGCGAATGCACATACCTCTCCACGGGAGTGGTTTCCCACCATCCAGTCTTCAGGAATTCCATTGAGTTTCTAATTAATGCTCTCAGGCGCTTATTAGATGAAAAGCAATATTATGAGCGAGCGGAACGCTGAGTTGTTATTTCTACTGGATGTAATCCCTCTGGGGGAGCAAAGTACTGGCTCAGAAGCCTTTCCAGTTTTCAGAAGTGGATTCACTGTCTGGGCGGCCGGGTACACAGAGCAAGATCAGCTCCTTGCAGGAGAGCCTTTAGTTCCTGGGCCCTGGGATAGGGGTCCAGTGTGGCACTGCCCATTTGTGGCTCACTAAGCCTGCCCCAGGAGCCTTGTTCCTGGGTGCCAGTTTTTGTAGGAGAGCTTTCCAGCCATTGAAATTAGGCCTGATGTTGCCTTCCATTCTGTGGGCGTTGGAACAAGCCAATGGAGTCCCTCGACAAGGCCTTTGCCAGATCAAAGTATTAGGAGGCTGGTGCCAATTGCTCTGCGGCTCTGGAAAGACGTATTTTTAGATTCTAGCCCCTGCCTTTCCCTCACATGCTCCAGCTACAGTCCTCGGTCTGTCACTCTCTGCATTCCACCTCCCTACTCCTGAGGCTAACAAGGGAAGGTGGGAAAAAACTACTCAGAAACAAAAATCTGAACTTTATTGCCAGGCTTCACTTCATTTCTACGGTCAGCTCTTTGCCATGACATTCTGGGAAACCCTGAGGTTATTCTAAAACCACAGAGGCTTCCCTACACTAGAAAGCCATATGGAGAGCTTTTTTTTTTTTTTTCTTTTTTAAGATTTATTTAGTGGACAGGCAGAAATGCAGAGAAAGAGAAGGAGAGAGACAGACACAGAGAGAGAGATTCCAGCTACTGATTTACTCCCCAGAGGGCTACAATGGGCGGAGCTGGGCCAGGCCAAAGCCAGGAACCAGGAGCTTCTTCCAGGTCTCCCACATGGGTGGCAGGGGCCCAAGGACGTGGGCCATCTTCTACTGCTTTCCCAAGTGCATTAAGCAGAGAGCTGGATAGGAAGTGGAGCAGCTGGGACTCAAACTGATGCCCCTGTGGGATACTAGAATTGCAGGTGGCAGCTTAACCTTCTACGCCATAGCACCGGCCCCAGTATGGAGAACTTTAAGAGCCTTATTCCAATAAAGCTGCATGTTATCATCCTAAAACTAGGCTCTGGGGCTGCTCGAGGCTGGACAGACAGTATACCAGAGACAAGAGTTGATGCTGCAAGTCAAGATATTTGTTGGAGTAGCTGTCTAGAGGAAGGCGGACTCTGTAACACTCTCCCTTCAGTGGCAAGCTAGCAAGACCGACTTGTAAAGAAGCAAGGGTAGTGAGGGGTGGGAATTGGACATGAAAGAGAGTGGGTCACAGATGAGTCACAAGGCTAGTGGTTAGTTTTTATTCAGATGTGACAAAGGCAGGGAAGAGGCATTTGTTAAATGTACAGTGTCAGCAGGGTGGGAGAGAGGGAGATCTGGAAGCATTCCAGACCGGAGAGCGAAGACAGAGCATGGAATAAAGACATTTTACGACATACAAACAGCTGCTAGGCAAGTGGGATTTAGTACTGTTTAGTTCTGTTGAGTACATGGCGCTAGGTTCCACCTGCCTCGGCCTATATGACCTGCCTCCCAGCCTCCATCTTCCCATCTGCAAAATGGAAAGAGTCCCAGTACTCCCTGGACTGTTAGGAGGAGTAAATCCAGCAATGGGTATTAAGTGCTTGGCAGGGCACCTGCAATACGGAAACCATTCGGTGAAAGGTTGGTTTCTAACACAATGAACCTGAGGAAGGAGGACTGATTCTTGTTTCCTTGGACACTTCCCTGGGTCCTGGACTCTAGTTATGGCTCAAGAAATAAAGCCATCCCACCCGATTAAAACAGAGGGTGAGAGTGGATCGGAGGTCCTTTTCCACACTAACACACCTAGGCTGACAATGTCTAGCCCCATTCAGAGACCTCATTAGACCTTGGCAACGATGAACAAATTTAGACATACAGAAAGCATCCCTTTACTGAATGCCTTGATCCTGTGCTTGTCCTTTCTCTCAGCAAGGCCCTGATGGCTCCCCTGGAGCAGGAGGAGGTGACAGCAAAGTTCTCACCTCCAACCTCCCTGCCTGGGAGGGAGTCTCCCAGCCCTTCCTTGGTCACCCGCTAGAGACTGCAGCAGCAGCCCTGGGATATGGGAAAGGCAGGTTGATTGGAAGGCCAGGAAGGAAGGAAGGCACCCCTCCTGCCTGGCGGCTCTTGCCAGCCCAGGCCCAGCTGGAAGGCCTGTCTAATTTTAGGACGGCATTCACATTCACATTCGAAGGCAGAGCTAATTTTAGTCTCAGCCTCATCAGGGTCTCTTTGAAGGCCTTAATGATGATGTTTTGGTGAAAGAGAGGGTGCTTCTGGAATGAGAACTCTCTGAAAAGTGACTCTCAAAATGACAGCAGGGCTTGGCCCAGGGGGACAGCTGGCCAGTCCTGCCTGCTGTTATGTGTGCATCAGCACGGCTCGCACCCAAGGCACGTTTTGCAAGAACATTCATCCTGCTCATCTGTGATCTCTGATCCCATGGTCGCCTTTTGATGGGTTTTGTTATATCTTCCCTGGGTTTAGATAACACTGTGGAAACCTAGGCAGGAGGAGGGCTCAGTGGCATCCTAGGAATCAGATGTGAGATGTGTTATCTCCTTTGTAGCTTTTCAAAGGTCTGAAGTGCCCTACCAGGGAGAAGACAGGCCTCCACAGAGCTTTTCAGCCAGGTTTTAACCCAAAGTACTAAGCTAATCCATCGAAATCTGCCATGAGATCTTGAACATCAGCCCTGCGCAGCCTAGCATTTTACAGCTGTAGCTCATTTGCAGAGTCCTAGACAGCAAAAGTGCTTATTTTGTTCTGTCCTCTGGCAGCCTTTGGCAGTCAGGTTCCTGCTGGGACCTAAATTTGTGTTCTGAGAATCCAACTACCCCAAACTGAAGAGCAACCTCAAAGTCAGTTCTTCTTCATTTGAAGTTAGGCCGGCTGGCTGGTTTCAGTTCTGTGTGTGTTGATGCCTCAGATCATGTTTCTGCTCCTAATCTTTATACGTTGGGCAGCTCACAGCAAATCCCCCAAAGATTTCCAGGCTTTTTTTTTTGGGGGGGGGGGGGTAGCCCTGGGCTCTTACATGCGGCTCGTGTGGCCTTCAAAGATTGCGTGGACAATTTGTGTGGTGCTGCATTCCCGATGGGGTGCTGCAGGTCTGCAAGGAAGCCAGTGGTGAGGCCTCCCAATTGAAGGTGAAATATTCTCTTGTGTGCCCCAGCAGATAAGTGGAAATAAACCAGCATTGCAAAACTGCCCTGCTAATTGTGGCTTTCACAGCTGTGGAGAGAGAGAGAGGGAGAGGGAGAGAGGGAGAGAGGGAGAATTGAGCGGCAGGCATTTTCTGGGAGATCGGAGCAGTACCCTGCGAGCAAGCTGGTCTGGAATTTGCATTGTAGAGCTTTTTAAACATTATAGATGATCTTTACTTAACTCATACGTCTTTCTAAATGGAATGTAAGAGTGGTTAGGTACTTGAGTCACAGTGAATGGAAAATAAAAACCAAAGCCATCAAGAAGGTGGAGAGGAAAAAAAGGGGTGGGGGAGGGGGAGACCTGCCAGATGCGCTTCTGAGCTTCCTAGAAGGCAGAGGGAAGAAGGAGTGGGGTAAGTCTCCTAGTTCTTGAGATCATTCTGTGGTGACAGTGGTGTGGGACATGGTGAGCGCCCCTCTGAATTCCCCGAGGTTGGTTCACCCTCCCATGGCAAACAGGCGTAACCTCACATCTTGGAATCGCCCGGGAGAATGATAAACTGCTTTCCACCTGTGGCGAACATGGCCTCCATCAGGGAGACCAGGGAGCACCATTAAGGGCTGGGCCAGGAAGGGCAGCCCGTATGCCGCTGTGCTGTGACCAGACTTGCCGTCGGTTGCAGGTTACCGGATGCGGTTAGGTTCTAGCACGGACAAGAAGGACTCGGGCCGCCTGCACGTGGACTTCGCGCAGGCCAGGGACGACTTCTACGAGTGGGAGTGCAAGCAGCGGATGCGCGCGCGCGAGGAGCGGCACCGGCGCAAGCTGGAGGAGGACCGCCTGCGGCCGCCCTCGCCCCCAGCCATCATGCACTACTCAGAGCACGAGGCCGCGCTGCTGGCCGAGAAGCTGAAAGGTAGGACGCCCCTGCCTGGCCTTCCCCGCCCCTGGTGAGCCAGCGTCTGCCGCAGAGAAAAGTGCGGGGCTCCCCTGGCGCCTGTCTGTCCTCCCTACACTCACCGACTTCACAACAGTGGGGGCCAGGTAGAGGTGGCAGGCACCTGGGCCACAGCATCCTGGTTGGGACAGAGCCCTGCCGGTCTCCAGCGCTTGCCACCTGTGTGCCTCGTGGATGCATGTGCACTGTCATAGCCTAATTCCCTGAATGCTGGGCAGAGGGGTGGGCAGCACTAAGCCCAAAGGCAGGCAGGCTGCTGTCTACTGAGCCACTGCTGGATACAGCCACCAGGGGACCCAGAGGTTCCTAGTGCTCTCAGAGCCTCGGTCCATCAGACTGGAGCCTTCCTGGTGCACATCAGATATGAGCTCCGGGCCATGGAGGGTGGCAGAGAGATGCAGACTTGAGTCCCAGTCTTCAGAGACGCAGTTGCAGTGACACTGGTAACACCTACAGTGTGGCTAATTGGAGAAGGAGCTGGTGTTGCGTTCCCTCTGATGTTGGCGCTCTGGGAGATGATGCCAGGTAGAGGCTAAAATGCCTGTCCCAGGGGTGATGACTGGGAAAAGGCTGGGTTAGGATGGTCTGTGTGTGTGCATATGTGTGTGTGTATGTGTGTGTGAATTGAGTTCTGTAATAGACAAAATTGTGTGGACTGAGCAACATCTGGGTATCTCATAAGCAAATGATGCCCAGACCCTCCTTGGATCATGGTGTGCTGTCTGGATATACTGAGAATGCAGGTCACACTGGCTAGGCACACAGAGGCGTCTGTAAGTAAATAGTTGACAATGATATGAAGTGCATGGCAAGATTGCCAGCCGGGGAATGTGTAACCTGCTTAAGGAATGTGGGGCAATGTTTATGGAGGTACCTTCCCTTCCCGGAGGAGGCAGAATCTGAACTTTTCAGGATAATTTTTTTTTTCCTGGAGGAAAAGGGGCATAAAGGCATTCTAGTTAGAGGCTGGACCCTAGGAGGAGAGACACTCAGAGAGGCGTGGGGCACAGGAGCTGCGTGTATAGAACACGGTGATGCTGGGAAAGCCATCTGGGGCCCGGTGCTGGTGCCCTGGAGGCCACTGCTGGATGTGGGTTTTGTGCATGAGCCATGGAGAAGGCACGCCAGATTGCTGATGAGAACACTTCCAGTGTTCGCTTGCATGGCAGGTGTATTGCTGGCGGCATGTTAGGTGGATTAAAGGTGTTCACTAAAACCAGCAGATACAGAGCTGCCGAACACCTAGGTTAGGAAGGTAGGAAGCTGACATTCTGTGCTTAAAAGGCAGCCTGTGTACTCTCGCCTCATCCCCTGCCAAGTCTGGGCCACCACCCCTGTTCACCTGCGGTTTTGCCCCTGAAATACCCCTGTTGTAACCTCGTGGTGTTTCTTGCTGATGGTCTTGCCCTGAGAAGGTAAGGTTCCTGCAGGTGGATACACCGTCCGTGACTGTCCCTTTAATAAAAGGCATGTACAGTGCAAATACAAAGTCTCGCTTTCTCATTCAGTCTGAAATCCATAAGGAGTGACTCAAATGAGAATGAGCAGCGTTCTCAACTAGGACTCTTCACTAGAACAGACAATTTTTTCTTTAATATCCAGTGCATTGTGTAATGCCACCTTACAATCTACATAGACTAAACTGCATTTAATTGTATGTACACCGAGCAGTGAGAGAAGCTAACACTTCGGTTCCGTGACCTCATAAAGGAATTTCGGGAGAGTTTGGCATTGAAATTCTGTTATTTTTAAGAAACCAGCACAGAAGTGTCTATGCATGTATGAGGTGTGTGTGGCATTTGCCTCTCCTTTTTAGAAGATAGCAGATTGGGATGTCAGTTTGGTAAAGTAATTTGCAAGCCTTGCCATTTCAAAAATATATATTTATATAGATGAGTATAATTTGCAGAATTCCGAAGCTGTACCTTTGCCAAGTACCGTGTGATCCCTTGAGGAGAGAACAGATTGGAAATTTTAATAGATGGCTGTTACAGTAGAATGAACTAGCCAAGGATACATCTTAGGCAAGAGTCAGGTAATATCAAGCTTGACAATTTCAACTCAAGCACAGAGTTTGGAATATAAACAGCATTTAATTGCTTAGGAAATTGGCTGCCTCGGAGAGGAAACCCGCGCCATGCTCCCTATAACACGGCAAAGCCAGCCAGGAGGAGCCGCGGAAACTGCTTCCCTAAAGATGATTTCACTGATGTGGGGATATAAAATGCAGTCAAGACCCACGGGAAGGAAACCTGGGTGTGAGAGGAAATGGAAATGCAATCTGAAAATACTTAATTGGATTTGATTTTGTTCCCTCCCTGGAGAAATCTCCCTGTCTTAGGTTTATCACACACACTTTCCCCGCTACCCTACATCTTACCTCTTGATTCTCACACTTTCTGTTTTGGAAAATCCTCTTTATTCCGTAAACTCTGTACAAGCCAAGCTTTGATCACAACTTCCAAGGTCCTCTATGTACTGTCTGGTGTGAAAACCAGGCACGCAGTAGGGGGCGCGGGGGATTGATTCCTTTCTCCCTCCTTCAGCTATCTGAACCTGTGGGTTTCTGGCCAGTCTTGCTACTGGGTGAGCCTGGACCTACATGAAGGTGATATGTGTTCAGTCATCCTCCTGGTCACTCTAGAGGCAGCACTGGGGCCATTTTACCACGTGCCTGGCACTGCACTGCTCTCAACCTTGAAAGGAAAGAAAGTAGTGGACAAGCCCTGTGGCACAGTGCTAGGGTTCTCGAGTGATGGCGCCATTAACAAATCAGTGTGCGCTCTCTCCTCCCAGTAGTGCACTGTGGTAATAACTGTACATATAATAACCCCATACTGCAGGTGACAAGTACAGGTGCCATCTTCCTGGGAGAGAGTCCACTGGGCAGGGCTGGGGTAAGAGGGTGCAACCTCATGGGTACCAGGTCACCCCATTCACTGGCTCCTGGGCCTCCCTAACGGAGCAGGTCACCTAGCATCTGTTACGTTAATACACACATTCTGAAAAGGAAAATTAGTGGGCATCCTGCCGATTAAATAGATATTGTTCTGAGACAATTGAGCTTAATGAAGACGGACTGGGAAGTAACTGCTCTCGGCCCAAGGTGTATAGCGTGGCTTTGAGAAAGCGAGAAAGAGCTCAATAGCACCATAATTACACTTTATTGGAAACAGTGGCACCAGGCAGATGAGATAATGAATTTCAGTGTGTCTGACACAGGCCGTCCACCCCTGGAAAAAGACTGTGTCTGGACGGTGGGCGGGGGAGATTGATTAGACTGCGAGGAAGGATTGTACCCTAATTCACGGGGGACGGCTGTGGGCAAGAGCATTGAAAAGTTTCCATGTACTTGTGTCCACCTTTGAAAAGCTGCACGCAGGCTTTCACAAAGAGTTTCTCTCTGCACCAGGTGAGGCTCTGACAAAGCTTCCCATGCAGAGCCCTTGGGCTTCCCTAACGTGACATCAGGAAGTCAGCCTTGGGGGAGGGGCCTTCCTGGACGCTGATTTGCATATTGAACAGCCCAGTGTCAGCATGCTGGAGGGAGGACAGGGCAGAAGCGGGACCAGCATTGTACTGAGGTGGTTGTAAATATTTATGGTCCCGTGAAAGTGGAAATCAATAATGCGATGAGCCAAGTGGACGCTCCATTAGCTAAAAGCCAGGCTTCCTTCTCAGGGTGCAGGAAGTACAGAGGCCTGTTTGAGAATCACTTCCTTAGGCGTTACTAACCCCCAGAGAGGCAAGATAGACCATGCTATGTAGAATCATTTTTTGCTTGATCCCAAAGCAGGAATAATCAGTCCATTTTCATATTTCCTCCTTAATTTTCTCAGTTTTATAGATACTAGATAGCTGGGGACATTACGGGTATGTGGTGGGGTATGAGAGCATTGGCTGTGTTGTGTAGCCCTTATTACTGTCTGTAATTTTGTTAATGTGTGATTAATTGAGCAGCCAGAAAATAGAGCCATATGTAGGGAAATGTGAAATTTGGGGAATGCCTCAACCATCCTGGAGTCCCCAGTCTGCTTGGATTAGTAAGTGGTTATATGCTATAAGCAAGTCCCGGCTATCGTCCAAGCCAGCAGTCAGCATTCAGTGGTCAGGTATTCAGTGTGGTGGTTAATATGCCATGTGGGATGCCAGCATTCTATATCCTAGTGCCTGGGTTCAAGTCCTGGCTCCTCGCCCAATTTCAGCTTTCTCCTGATGTGCGTCTTGAGAGGCAAGGACTGGCTCAGGCAGTTAAGTCCCTACCACCCACATGGGAGATCTGGATTGGGTTTCTGCCTCCTACCTTTAGCCCGGCCCAGGCTCAACCATGCCGTACATTTGGAGACTAAGCAAGCAGACAGGACGTGTGTGTGTGTGTGTCTCCATCTCGCTGCCTTTCAAGTGAATAAAAATAAGCATTTGGGGCCGGCGCTGTGGCTCACTTGGTTAATCCTCTGCCTGCGGCACTGGCATCCCATATGGGCACCGGGTTCTAGTCCCAATTGCTCCTCTTCCAGTCTAGCTCCCTGCTGTGGCCCGGGAGGGCAGTGGAGGATGGCCCAAGTGCTTGGGCCCTGCACCCGCATGGGAGACCAGGAAGAGGCACCTGGCTCCTGGCTTTAGATTGGCGCAGCTCCGGCCATGGCAGCCATTTTGGGGGTGAACCAATGGAAGGAAGACCTTTCTCTCTGTCTCTGTCTCTCTCTCTCTTTGTCTGTACCTCTACCTGTCAAATAAATAAATAAAAAATCTTTAATAAAAAAATAAGCATTTAAGAAACAGAACTCAGTGATAACTGTGCAGATACCTGATTCAGTGCGTGCCTGTATGGAGGTCTCTTTGGAAGGAAGAGTTCTCTCTATTTCTGTGGAAACATGAAATCTTCCTTCTTGTTGTCCCCCTATACACCCAGCTACAAGCGAAGAAACCAGAGTCTTATCTAAGCCTTATACTCAGTG